GATGGATGGATGGATGGATGGATGGATGGATGGATGGATGGATGGATTGATTCATTCATGGATAGCTATAGTATTCATGGAATTAGTAAAGTACTGGAGAGTGGCCTTCCTACATCCAGGTTTGTCTGTTTAACAGTGTCTGATGAAAACGACTGATAGACCTGCGACCTCTTCAGGGTGTATCCTGCCCAGTGACAGCTGGAGACAGACACCAGCTCCTCTGTCTGCACTGGATTGATGGGGTCTGGAAAATGGATGCATAGGAAAGCATAAAAGTTTTTTTGTGGTTTGTAAATGGAAAGATACAAAGTGTAAAATGTTGAGTATGCACCAGCAGCTTAACACAAGGCTGGACTAATGGTATAAACCACAGAAAATATGCCAAAATACAAAAACATTTTGGAAAATGTATTTTCTTAATGCGCTCACAATACTAACTCAGCCAGTACTTAAGTAACGTCAGTGGCAGTTTTTCAACTGAATGGAGACTGTGCAGCAGAAGTAAAGGCTGTGTATCTAAACATTAAAACACTTCTTTCTCTTATTATTTTTAGGGCTACCGTACTGGCTATGCCTACCGCTTCCCTGTGCTGCTGGAGCGAACACGGACACGGAGGGAGGTGGAGGTGCCAGCAACCGTGACAGCCTTCCACCAGTTCGATGATGACAGCGTCCACCCCGCTCTGAGGCAGCACCCGTTTGCTCAGCGCCAGCAGCAGGAGAGGACACGATGGCTCAACACCCCTAACACCTACCAGAAAGTCAGTCAGGAGCAAGCCAGCCCGGGGCACCAGCGCACCACTGTGAGGCTCTGGGGGAGTAATCTGCATTACCCCATTGACCATCATGCATTTGCTTTACTGACTCCACAATGTAACATTTTGGAAGTCCCTCTTCTTCATGGCCACTGTGGCCTAAATCCAACATCACGTTAATCTTCGCTAAAATTATCTGAGTCAGCAGCCGTCCTTCTGATTTCTACTAACAAGGATCTAAGAGGAGGTTTTATTCTTGTTACCAAATAGCTTAGAGAGGAGATGTATTTTGCAAAGTTGCAACAATATGAAAAATGTGAGAGAGGTTTTCTTACATCAGTGGGAGGAGCTTAACTCCTTCAGCTTTTCTCTCTCCTCTGCATTGCAGGGGAGGCCCACAGGCTTTGTGAGGACTACTGTAGAGCAGAGTCTGCCCTCTGGTGGCCAAACACCAATCCTAATCAAGCTCATAAAATCTGTTGTGCACGTTGGAGTAGTTCCAGTATCTGCTTGTTTGTTTAATTTAACATTTTTGTGCTGATATCTTCCTGAAGTGGTTGAAGACAGAAGAGCTGACACAGGCTGGCAGCACAGCCATCAAGATTGAAAACCCAAACCAGTTTGTGCCTCTTTACACCAACCCTAAAGAGGTGATCGAGACACGAAACAAGGTATGTCCGTCTTTCACAAGTCCCTTTTTCCCCTTGTGCGAAAAGGTGATTCAAGAATGTTGACAAAGAACGTTTTGCTGTCTTCAGATCCGACAGCAGAATCGTCAGGATATGAAAACCGCAGGACCACAGTCTCAAGTCCTGGCAAGTGTCATAACAGATAACAGCCCTCCGGTAAATTATTATTTGTCTGCAGGCAGAACATTTAGTACAGTTCCCTCTTCAGTTGGTATCATGAGCTAAAACAGTGCCTGCATGGTTCTACTTCTTCATCAGACCCCAGAGAGCCCACCCAAAGTCCCACCAGAACCAGAACCTCCCAATCCCTTCAACCAGCTGACGGACCAAGAGCTGGAGGAGTACCGCAAGGAAGTGCAAAGGAAACAAGACGAGGGGACCAATGGTACGTTGTTCAGATAAGAAAAATAAAAAAAACACACACATTTCACCCATCGAAGATTTACACTGACCTCAGTGTCTACAGTAAAGTGTATATATATATATATATATA